CTCTCTCTCTCTCTCTCTCTCTCTCTCTCTCTCTCTCTCTCTCTCTCACACACACACACACACACACACACACACACACACACACACAAACACAAACACAAGCACGCGGGTTGCCGCTGCAGCACATGCGCATACATAGGCATCCCCTTAGGTAGCCCCAGGGGCATGACAGGTACTACAAATTGGCCTTCCAGACTTTTGTATTCCTTTTTCTTGCACTTTTGCTCGTCAACAACAAACAGATGTAAACTTGAAACTCGTTTGGAAAAAATGACGAGGTCCAGCATAGATAGGATAGGCTGGTTCAGAAAAGATGAGGCCGATCAGAATTAGGTATATCAAAAGAACAGTGAGGCGCATAATAAATAGTTCTCAAAGATGGCAAGTGCGAGGCTCAAGGCCTAGATACGCCCTACTGGGCCCTATTTTCAGTACAGTCGGCCGCCCTAAGTGAAGGCAGGCTCGACCAAGGCCTACAGGCCCATTTTTGGGGTCACCACGCAACTGGGGGAATTCAGGCAGTTGTGCAGCGCCAGTTGGTTGAGAGCGCCCAGGCCCAGGCTGCCTTTTTCGTACGTAACTGAGGCAGGCCCTGGGCCAGATACGCAACATTGGGCCAAACACAGGCAGCGGGCAGTTGGGCACGGGTAACCACCACAGGCCCTGGGCCTGATTCGATCGGACTGGGGCTCAGCCTCACGGGGCCTACCGGAAGCTCCTGGACCGAGGCCCAATGCAGGCAAGCTGCACGCAGCAGGCAGGTCACTTCCATTTAGGAAAGTGCCTGCCCAGCACTTCTCATTCGGGCACTGGCTGCATGCTGCGCAAGCGCTGCTGCGCTATACGCTGGCCAGCGGTCACACGCTCACGGGTGAACTCGAAGGAGCAGGCAGCCATAGCCGAGCTGCGCTGCTGTATGCTGGATGGGGTGCATGGTGGTCCTTGGGTGTGTGTGGCATCTGTGAGTTGGGGATCAAGGTTACGAGTGATGCGAGAGACATACCTGGTGCTTGAGGCGAACGGAATTGGCCAAGATCTGCTCGTACTTCGGGGAGCTGTTGACGTCACCAGCGGCATTGTAGATAAGCTAGATAGGATCTGCCATTTGTAGTCTGGGTGCAGAGCGCCAGATAGGATGTCGACATTGGTTCTTTGTTGATGATGATGAGATTATTCCAACATTGTCACTTATGAGCTTTTGCTGTGCTCTTATTTGGTGGGACTCATGTTGCAATTCTGCTTTTGATTCGAGGTCATGACTATCTGGTCTCATGTGTATGATGCTGCTTGGTTTCTGAAGTTCGCTATCGCTCATTTTCCTTGCACAAGTATCAGAATAGGGAGCACCGGAATAGCAGCATCTGGGACAGGGAGGCTTGGAAAGATAGATGCAGAGAAGAGACTCTGAGGTCAAAACAGCGAGGTCTGGAATATATTAGTTTGGAAATTTAGAGGCTTAAAATATGGGGGGAGGAATAAACAAGTAGGCCTGAAATAGATAAGGTTTGGACTCTGGAGGCTTCAAATATGACGGCAGGGATGTACACTTAAGACTCTAAAGAGAGGGAGGTTAAGGACCTCCGGGAATAGCAAAAATAATATTTGAAACATTGTCCACTACTTGTACTCATTTGGAAATTAGAATAGAGACAGAGTAATGAAGTGATGGAAATGTGCAATTGCGAAGCGAGTTTCAGAAGGGCAAGGGAGGCGCATCTGGACTACAATGGAAGGGAGGTTTGGAAGAGCAAACAAAGGTCTGGAACAGCAAGAGATGGATGTGCAGAAAGAACAGTAATGGAGGGAGGGAAGACTATGGGTGGAGGTTCGTAATGGCAACTAGTAGAGGGGGGTTCAGAGGAGCACAGGAGGGATGTTGGAGGAGGGGGGGGGGTAGAACAAACCTGGAGGGAGGGAGGGAGGGAGGGAGGGAGGGACGGCAGTTAGGAATGGCACCAGCTGGATAGAGAGAGTTCTGGAATAGTGATGCAGGAAAGTTCAAAACAGCAAAATAACTTTAAACAAGGTGTGAAAGAAAAGGAGGTGAGGGAGAAGAGGTTCTGAAAGGCAATGGAGGGTCTCCTCTTCAACATTACTATTTTTGGCAATCTTTACCCTTGACGGGAAGTTGATGGGACAGAAAAGAACTTCACCTCAAGGTTTACCATCCCTAGCCTGTGGATTTTGCTGAGCACTTCCCCCTTGTCGTATGGGATGACAACCTCAACTGAAACCAGATCATCCTGTGGTCCACAGAAAAGAAAAGCCATTTGCCCACCAAGAGGGCCACAACCCAAACAAACTTAGAACTGGCAAGGATCATCATCCATCACCACTCTTGCTGAGACACTTCTTCTCATTCTTCTGACCTTGAATGATAGCCCAGGATCCTCCCTCTTCAAAACACATGGCTAAGGTCAAGACCATACTAGCAGTCATGCCAGTGAGTATCTCTATGGCTGAGTGGGTGTACAGAATGGGTTTTATGACTGTTACAGACTACAGTCATCCCCAGATTACAAGGTACAGTCAATTTGGGGTATCTTTCAGTCCAAATGCAGCTGTAATGACCGTACGTTATATTCGGGGGAAGAAGGTAGTTTCTCAGACTTACTGCCATTTTTGTCAGGGGTTTGAACCTACAGTCTGCTAGGATTGCAGGGTTGGTGTGAGAAAACTCCACCACTTTCGTCAGCAGCATCACTAACTCCGGGCAACGTGGTGAGTGCTTATCGATCAGTCAAACCCATATTGGGCAGACTGTCAGGGTTCAACCTCCTGATGAGTCGATGAAAGTCCGACGAAACAGTCAATAACAGTCATGTATGAACATGGATTACTATACGATATCATATGGCTCTCTGAAGTGCCATATGATATTGTATAGTAGTCAAATTGTTATAAATGTGGATAGTTGGCCTGCATATGAACATGCATGAAAATAACAAATGTAGAGAAGTAACTATACATAAGCGGATGGGGGTCTTCAATCAATTCGAGAAATAAATCGCTCATTTAACCCACGATATTACGTTCTCCTCGTTTCACCTGGAGAAGATAGGTGGGTGGGTGGGTGAGACTCCTCTAGAATATAGTTTGCATAGAGACCATGAAACACACACACACACACACACACACACACACACACACACACACACACACACACACACACACACACACACACTATGCATATCTTCCTCCCTACTTTTTGTTCTTACCGTCTGTGTGTCCAAGTGAACACCTCTAAGATAGTAAGATGTACCAAATAGTCGGTGCTTGTTTGTTTCAAATGCCTGCAACACTATTAGGAGGGCTGCTCTGTTGGGGAGTCTGTGGGTGCATGTTCCCCTGGGTGAAGACATATATTCGTAGTTCCTTGCTCCGAGGGTTGGTGGGGGAACCAACAGCCTGCGGTGTTTTACTTGTGGTGTGAGTAGGTGATGGGCTGATTTGTCTGTGCTGCTCTTCTGCCTGGCCACCCATCCGGTTGCCTTGTCTTTCCGTGCTGATTGCCATGGCCTTTGGCTGTCTTTTGCCTCACTGCTTATTTGCCTTGCTCCCTTCTGCCTTGATGCCTTGAGGCCTTTCACCTCGTGCCCATTTGCCTTGCTGCCTTGTCTTTCCATGCTGCTTACATGGTAGTTTGGCTGTGGTTTGCCTCAACCTTCTCCATGCTGCCTTTGCCTTGCTTGCCTTGTCACTGGCTCTTACCGTGCTGCCATGCCTTTGCATGCTGCTTGCTTGGTCATTTGGCTATCTTTTGCCTCACTGCCTTCTGCCTTGCAGCTATTACATGCCCAGTTGAGCGATGTACATATATAACCGAGGATCCGCAATGTGATTAAAAGGACTGAATGGACAATGCAGTGCAAGTGAAATCTCAACAAGCAGTGTGCATTCTGATACATACAAAAATGGTGCTTTATAGCGCAGGGGAAGAGACTTAGATACAAGTCCTGACCTGACCGGGACTGACCTCTATCACGTACTGCAAGACAGCGCAGCAGAATGCTAGAATACCAGTGACTAGCCCAATCAATGTTGCACCGCAGACCAAACATACATCATTCTCATCACAAGGTGTGAAGGGGCCTGGCGCTACACACAGGAAGAATGCGCCAGGTCCAGATCAATGCACAGACGAAGAGGAGGGGAACAGACGAAGAAGAGGGGGAGAGATGGGAATGTCGTCAACACCGAGTCTTTGTTACAAGTCCCAAATAATCCCTCGTCAAAATGTCTGAAGCCCAAATGTCGAGTCTGGATCCAAATGTCACCAAGCTCTCTCTTTCTCTCGTAGTCTGCTGATGCAGTGAAGTCAGGTAGTGAGAGGGTGAGCGGGAGATGGACTGAGAAGAGGAAGAAGAAGAACTCTCTCTCTCTCTCTCTCTCTCTCTCTCTCTCTCTCTCTCTCTCTCTCTCTCTCTCTCTCTCTCTCTCTCTCTCTCTCTCTCTCTCTCTCTCTCTCTCTCTCTCTCACGTGCCAGGTACTAAACTGTGAAGTAGGCGCTGTGCTGCAGGTACCTCGAAGACGGAGCTGGAGCTATGGCACTGCAGGTAAGTCTCCCTGGCCTCCACCCAATCTCTCTCTCTCTCCAATACTACTCTAGCTCCTACTAGTGCACAGCGCTGAATACTGCTAACGCTACTAGCGCCCAGCGCTGAAGACTACTGCTAGCGCTACTACTACTCCTGCAGCGCTCCTCCAGAGTGCTGCTGCCGAATCCTGAAGACTACCTCCTGCCTCCTGAACTGCACATGAAGTGCCTGGGAAGTACCTAGGGACTACCTGCAGCCTGCAGGGCGGGCCAGTCCTATATAGTGCTGGCCCGTCCAGGAGGCTGCTCTTGCCAATGCCAAAACGTGCCAGACCCTGGGGTTGAAGCTCAAACAAAGGTTGTCTTGAAAATAGGCCAAAAATGGCCTGAGCTAAAACCCTGGTCTGGTGCCTAAGTTTCAGGGCAGGTCAATCTTATGAGGGCCTGAAAATGGCCCTCAGTTTCAGGCTGAAAAGACTCAGGGCCGGAAAGGCCCTGGTTTAGGCTGAAACGACACAGGGCCTGTAGGCCCTTGTTTTCAGGCTTTCAGGCTGAAACAACACAGGGCCTGTAGGCCCTTGTTTTCAGGCTTTCGGGCTGAAAACGACACGGGCCTGAAAATGGCCTGTGCAGCCTGTTGCAGGCGCAGCATGTAACACAGCCGTTTGCCTCACAGCCTTCTCCCTTGCCACCTTTTGCCTTGCAGCCTTTTGCCTCGTTGCCTTGTTCTGTTTGTCTGCCCTCCCGCCTCCCCAGGGCCCACAGGCTGTTTGGCTTGCTGCTGCTTGTTGCCCAATGCCTTGTTGCCTTGCCTTTGACTTGCTGCTTGTGCTGCTGTTTGTCTGCTTTCAACAGGGGTTAAATAGTTCATGACTCAAAGCATCAATACGGGGATTCCGCAGATTGTCAAGGGTTCAGCCTCTCAACAAGTCGGTGCAAGTCCGACAAAACATCCTTTCACCATCTGTTCCCCMCCCCCCCCCCCAACAAAAAAAAGACATCCATTCTGGGGAGCAGCAGTCTGGTTCCTATTCCATTCGCAAGTCCAGGAAAGTACATCATCTACTCACACAAACGCTTCTCTGCCTTATGGCTGAGAGAACCGAGCAGGCGGCATTGATTACTTCCGAGCGGAAAGATGTACCTCCCCTCGCTTCTGGCTAAGTTACCCTTCCAAAGTCTCTTGAACTTGCCAGCCTTTACGCCTGTCCTGTCTGCTCAATGTGTGAACCCTATTCTCCATGAGAATGTATCTTTTACTGCTCTTCTCAGCTATGACTTGCTGTCTGATGAGCTCGCGCGTCTAGAGCAAGTAGTTTTCTCTGTTTCTGACCCGAGTCTGCTTGGCGGCATTGCCAATCCCAGGAGACCCCGGGGGCCGCTTGTTCGGGCTACAGGAGAATTTCCATTCCTGGCCATACAGCCTATAGCCTGCACGGACACCCCGCCGCCTCTGAGTGCCGCCAGACGGCAACACACAGACGCAATACTAGTCTAGCGCCCGGAGCCCAGCTCCCCTTGCGGAGTGTGCTCAGGTCCCGACTGCCTGCCTCGCACCCGGTGTGCTCATGGTTATTGCCTGTGCTGTCCACATGCCGCTCTTCACCCACAAGGGGCTGATGCAATCGACACTGCTTCGACAGGGCCATCTGAACCAAATGCCATTCCTCCCTCTCTCTCCTATCCTGCCCTAACCTAGCGTTTTGCCCGTATCTGCTTGGGTTTTCTTTTTATTATTATTATTTTAGAAATACAATCTGTCTTCTACTTCGGGACATCCGTTAAAATTGGAACGATACAGAGAAGATTAGCATGGCCCCTGCGCAAGGATGACACGCACTGAGTAGCTGGAAACTAATTCAACGCGGCTACCACATTGAACTTTTCAACGCGCAGTGAAACCGCGTTGAACCCCCTGTTTGAAGCCATTTGGACAGCTTTCATTGAGGCCCGGGAAAGGCCAAAACGGTTGTTTAGGGTGCAGGTACGTGGTGTCTAGCGTGATGGGGGCGTGGTGGGGGTGCCTGGGCACCTCCCCCAACCTTCCCAAAAAAAAAATCGGAGGAAAAAAAAAAAAAACAATCGGGGAACAAATTCCGGACAATAAATTTTTGTTTTATTTTCTGGCCGTTAGCTTAGTTAGGGGACCACGCCGGCGGAAGTGAGGGACCGAGGGATAAGAGGTGGCCGTTGCCACCACATCCCTCACTTCGAGTGCAGGGAATCCCATTGTAAGTCGCACACACACACACACACACACACACACACACAGAGAGAGAGAGAGAGAGAGAGAGAGAGAGAGAGAGAGAGAGAGAGAGAGAGAGAGAGAGAGNAGAGAGAGAGAGAGAGAGAGAGAGAGAGAGAGAGAGAGAGAGAGAGAGAGAGAGAGAGAGAGAGAGAGAGAGAGAGAGAGAGGTGAGCTTTTTGCCCTGCGGCGAAAGCGCAACACCTCCCTCCACCGCACGCAACGTGGAAACATCATCGCCACATGCGTGATGCACAGTCTTTAAGGAGTGCATCAAGCGGAGCAGTGGCCGCGGCACCTTCGCCGTGCGTCAAAACGCGCCGAATTTTAATTTGACACGTTTCAACGCACAGCACCGCATTTCAACGCGCTTCAAGGCATTTCGACGTGCAATGATGCGTGGCAACCGCGATCGTGTGCTTGCGGTGGGAGGCCAACCGCGAGGGGCGACAGCCTGCGC